ACAGAGTGTTAATGTCTTATTTCCAGCATAATGTTTACTTATAATTCTGTGATCATTTTCTTATGCTTCGGTTGAGTCACTGCAAAGGAAAATAGGCTCATGGATGCCACAGAAAGGATTGTTCATCCAGTATTGAGCCTGCAGACCAGACTGTAGCAGAAAGAGAAAGTCAAACTCTTACAGATGTTTATGATTACTTCAATGTCTTAAAAATGTGCATGAAAGAATATTAAGGTAACATATAGAGATGTGAACGATACTGTTTGTTTTGAAACGAGAGCGAAGGATCGTGTGTTAAAGAAAACGAGCCATAAACGTGCAGCATGTACACTCGGAGATTTGGGTTTCGTGCACTGAACAGAAGGGACGCTGCTCTCGAAAGCTGCTGTGACGGGCGGGGAAACGCTCTAATGGAAATGTACATATCTTCATGCATGCTTTGCAAGCTCAGTGGATGTTTATTCTTTGTTTTCTTTTTTTAAAGAAAAGCCCGTCTGTATAACAGAATCATTAAAATGTTAAAGGTTATGTGGTTTTGTTTAATTGTTTATGTCAAACCTCGACCTTAAAGAGTTCAACAGAATAAGAACTTAGACATAAATTAGCCTTATGAATAAATAAAATGTGAAAATATTCCTTTAAAAAAACCCTTTTCATCTCTATTTTTTCTTAAGCCTAATTACTAGTCTTAATTAAGGTGAACAGACTCTGAAAGGGGGACTTTTATTTTAATTGTGTGTAATATATTAATTACATTTATTAAATAAAGATTAACCCTTATTTTTAAAGAAGACATGCTACTGAATACATGGACTGTAGATAAAAGATGGAGGTGACCTTTTACTAGAGTTATTAGTTTTGAATTTTCTAGTTTTTATTTTTTTATTCCATTTTGACTTTTTAAGGTCAGTTTAGTGTCAGTTAGTCGCCAGAGTGAATTTTCTTCTTTCAGTGTAGTTTTTGTTAGTTTCAGTTACTTTTAGGCTTTTAAATTATTATTGTTATATGGAGGCCAAATGTCAGAGGGAACATTTATGAACATCAGTAGAGAGATCACTAAAAATAAAGATTTACCCCCTATTTTTAGTTTAGTTTTCCAAGTTCAAAGTCTTGAAATGTTTTATTTTTATCTCAGTTTGGGTTTAGATTAGATTAAATTTTAGTTTTTGGTTGGGTTTTTTTTGCTAAGCAAGCATTGCTAACATGCTGCATCCATAAATACAGCTCAACCTTTATTTAATTTAATGTATATTTTATTCATTAAATAAGATCAAACTAATTTTTGGGGGGAACTTTTCATTTAGTAATTTTTATGGCAATAACCAAACAAGCAACATATTAACATTCTCTGACAGAAGACCATTTAAGAGAGAGAGAGAGGGGAAAAAAACAGACCAAGATTAATATAATGATATGTCGTAGGGGAGATTTATAGCTTTATATTACAATGTTCCAAAGTTCTTGCTCATTCACCCAAGTATCTGGCCACACAGTTTCATCTCTGGTGTAAGATCTCCACCTTCAGTTGCAGGCTTGCTGTTATTCTTTCCATTGTATGAACTCTTTTCAGTCTCTGTTTCCATTGAGTTATGGATGGTGAGTTTGTTTCCATTTCACAGTTATCATTTTCTTAGCTATCAGA